GGGATTGTTTTTGTGCCTCCTCATTGCCCAGACCCGTGATTCCCAACATGGGGCAAAGCACTGTTCCCGAGGGCAGAGTTTGTAAAACCCACCCACAGAAACCAATGCACTTTACTTCACAACACGGCGCACGTACCTTTATGCATATGTAAGTGAAGCAAAGGTTTCACAAATCTGATCTTTAGAAATTGTGATATACTGTGTTTTCTCTTAGTTTTTCTTAGGCAGGGGGACTGGTTGAGACTTTCTCAATTGCTCTCACTTCCCACTAATGCTGTTTGCATTTCTCAATGTTGTTTACACAGAAAAATCACCTAGAAAGCTTGTAAAAAATGTCAATGCCCAGGCCCCACTCAGGAGCAATTAGAATTTCTTGGAGTAGGAGCCCACAGAGTTCCTCGGGCGAAGGCTTTGTTGTGTCTTGTGGCTTCTTACCACTTCCTCCTTTGAGCCTCACTACCAAAATCTGGTCCTACCTTTTTTACAGCAAGTAGTACCCGGTTTTGCATTTATTGACATGTTTATCTTAGATCACAGATTTCTTGAGGGCAAAAGACTATTTCCTTTGTTACTGAGTCCCGGGCACTCAATGTTACTGAGTCCCAGCACACAGTGGTGCCATCCCTAAAGACTTATTCTGAGCATAAATGTGTGAGCAAAGCAGGGAATCAACCATCTCCTTTGCCTTCCCGATTCTTCTTTGTCTTCCTTCCTGGATGTCCTTGTTCCTTACTGCTCTTGTTTTGTTTTCCATCCACTGGCCCTTCTTCCTTAGCCCACTTCTCAATCAGCAAAATTGCCCTCAGCCCGCTCCCCACTCTGCTCTCCATGGTGCTCTCATCTATGTCCGTGACTTCCACTCCCTGCCCGCTGACAGCTTCCAAAACTGCACCTCCAACCCCACCTCTCCTCCTCCATCCAGACTGATTTTTCAGCTGTTTTGGGGAAAGCATTATGGCTGAGACCACGGCTCCAGTGTCAGAGGCTGCAAGAATGAGTTTAGGTTCCAGCTCAAAAACTGTTTCTTCCAAATTGAAGATCTATGTTGTCCTCATTGATGAATTTGGGGTGATGGGTGGTGTCCAATCTGTAGGGTTGTTTTGAGGATTCAGTAAAACAGTGTATCTAAAAAGCTCTTAGCATGGTGCCTGGCTGCCATAGAGTTGGTACCCAATAATTGCTAGGCAGTATGACTGGACATCATCATCCAAAGGTCCAGCAGATCCCCCAAACTGTTCCCCAAACAGCATCATCCCTCTTATGCCTCTTACCTGTTCCCAAACCTCCTGAGCTCCTCCTTAGGTAACGCTTGCATCGGTGGGACCTTGGTAGACACAGATGTGATGTGGGGCTGTGTCTCCACAGCCCTCAGCCTCTTTCAGGCAGATGATTAACTCTGCCTACCTTCCTGCCGGGCAGGCTCTCTAATCCGAACTCTGTCAGGTCTGCTTCTGCTAGATTGAACTTTGTGAGATGCGAAGCAAGTCTGGCCACGTGATGTCCCTTCACTGGCCCTGTCAAACCCACATGGCCCAGAGGCCATGTGACAGTCTTTCACTATCTGGTCCCTGGACCCTGTACTCCACCTTCCTCTGTAATACACCTTGTTGTTTCTTGCCTTGTTATCTGCTGTTCCTCCTCCTAAAATATCCTACCTTCTTACCCCTCACCTGTCACAACCGTGATATTTGTCCCTTCGGTAGCTCACTATCCACCTAGAACCCTTCATAAACTCTCAGGTAATTATTTAACCCCTGTATGTTTCCCATTCTCCATCCCGCTTCCCCAGCGGGTGAGATCCTTGACACCAAGCAACTTTCATTATTATTATTTTTTAAAAATGTGACTCTGTGTCCTGAGCTGGCAGCCCAAGTCCTTATCTAGAGTAGGAACTCAATGATTTATGAATGAAGAACCTGGAGAGTCTGTGCTTTGGAACGAGGAGTCAGTACCATCAGTTAGTTCATGTCTTTATTTATCCTGTGTGAGTGTGTGCTCTACAGTAACACGACCCTACTAAACCTTGAGGGTCTTGCGCAATGCTTTGTGTTAGAGGCTGCAGCGTGTTGTGACATGTCTTGGGGACAGGAATGGTCTGACGGTATATTCTCTTCTGTTATTTATGTTGTGCCCTCAAACATTTGACAAACATTCCTTTGGGTGCTTACTTTGTACTGGGCACTGGGCGAGGCATAGGAGCATATAGGAATAATAGCACAAAATCCTTCTAATGATTGTGTACCACCTCTGCTCTGCACCTAGGTTAGCTCGTGAGATCAACGTCCTACTAAATAGAGAAAACAGAGGCTCATATGAGAAATTTCTTTTCTAAGGGAATGCAGCTAATCAGTGAAGAACCAGATTTGAACCAAGGTCTGCCTTATTTCTAAACTGATCACCCCTTTAAATACTGAATGCCACCTTGTAGGTACAAATTATGGAATTTGTCTGAGGTGCTGAATATGCATTATTCTGATTTAATTCTGCTAACACTCTGCAAGGCATTTTCTACCCCCATTTCTGGAGAGGAAATGGGCTCAGAGAGGTAGCCTGTGTGGCATCACACAGAACTTGTGACAAGTGACAGCTGAGACACTCCTTCAGGTCTGCTCGACTCCCATGACCATTCTGCGTCCACTTAGCACATGGCATGGTCTAGCCAGGATGCAGAAGGCTGTAAGGGGAACTGAAGGTCAGTGTTATGAATGTAGGAGCGAAACAGCAAGGGTGAGGAGCTGCTGGTTCAGCAAGACAGGAGTGGAGACAGCTGTTTAAGTGTGTGCTCCAAATTATGTTAAGTCGCTCACTTATTTATTCATTCAACCATCAACTATTTTGGGGCACCTCAATTAGCGCTGTGTACTAGTGGCAATTAATACAGAGAAAGGCAAAGTCATTAAAAAAAAACCCCAAAACCACATAGTCTTAGAAGAAAGCGATAGGGAATAAGACAGAGAGACAAGTGGCCAACAGAAATAAGTGCTATAAAGAGCTCATCACTGGGTATGATTTACTGGGCACAGAAAGTAAACTAGTATCCCTCTCTGGGTTATGATGAGTCCATTGCATCCAACTTCTTGCCAGGCCTGGAGGCCCGCCCCCCCCCCCCCCCCCGACTTCTGACTTTGGTTCTCAAGGTTGTCAAATTCCTGTCTGCCATAGGGCTTTTATCCCTGCTGTTCCCACAGTCTGACACGTTCCTTCTCTAGCCTCTGCACTAAGGACAGCTCAGTGACTCCTCCTCAGAGAGGCCTTCTCTGCTGCCTCCCCACTCACTCTTTGACATGTCAACTGGTCCTCCCTCTGCTCCCAGCACTAATCACCATCTGAGGGTCAGTACAGTTTAGTGGTTAAGAGCAAGGGGTCTGGAACTATCAACCTTGGGTTCTGGTCTCAGTTCTGACATTTTATTAGCCAAGTAACCTTGGGCAAGTTATCTAACCTTTATGCATCTCAGTTTTTTCATCTGAAGATGGGGACAATAATAATGGTACTCCTATCTTAGAGTGTACTGTTGTGGGGATTAATGGAGTTTGTATACATAAGGCATGAATAGTGCCTGGCACTTAGGGGGTATGTAATAAATCCAAATGAGTGAATCATCGCATATTCACTCATCCATCCAGTATGAACTGTGTTTGCATATATAGAGACTCTAGAATGCAGGGCTAGAAATACGATAGTGGGTGACCAGGGCAGGCACTGTTGTCTGTCCACAGGGAGCTCACTGCCTGCTGGAAGCACTTCTCTTGTTGACACAGGTATGCATTTTGTTGTAAATTTTTGCTTAGAGGTCATCTAAATGCTTCCAATTTATTCTATCTTCCTAGTTTCTATCCTCCTTGTAACCCACTTCCTGTCTCGGGATTCACTGTGCTCACTGCACTTATTATGGCTTCAGATGGCACATCCATCTGTGCATTTTTATACCCACATGCTTTGTTGATTGCTCACGGTTGGGTCCCTTCCTTTACCGTTAGACTCATTTAGAGGTTTAACTAGTGAGGAACCAGCAGAAGCTCACCAAGGGGATGACAAAAGCAGGAAAATAACTAAAGGACCTACTACCTCTTGGCTTCTTCATATTCTGCTCTTATTGCTTAGAATGCTCCACAACCACTCGAACCACCCCTTTCCCCAAGTTTGCCTAATTTCTTCTCACTTAGATTTCACTTCCTCTCTGCAGGAGGTCTTCCCTGACTTTCCAAGACAATGGGCTCTTGAGTAGACCTCTGCTCACCCTGGTAAGACTTGCTGTTCCACCGCAGGGTAACTGTCTACTCTGCTGTCTCCCCCATGTGTCTGCGTGTACCGTATGGCCTGGGCCATCTTTTTTTGTCTCATTCTCCATTGTATCCTCAACCCAGCAACACCGTTTCACTGTTAACAAGTAGTATTCTTTATGTAAGTATTGAACTTAGGTAGAGGACAAAAACCAATAAAGCAGGTAAATTAGGAAGTAATGATTTTTACTGTATTGCAAAGGGTCTATTCACTTTTAAAAAGAACTGTTTTTTTCAGGATTCCATTGAATATGGAGTCAGGGCTATTGCTATTAAAATGACACCCCAACCACAGTGGCTTAACACCCACCAATAAACTTTCTCAATTATGTAACCTTCATTGTAAATGTTCAGTGAGCTGCCTCCCAGACCTTGTGGCTCCACCATCCCTATGCCACTGGGGTCTTCTGCCATTGGCTGGCAGATGAGGAAAGGAAGAAAAGAGAGTCCCACAAGGGGGTTTCTTCTGGGCCACCCCCAAAAGTGGCACACATCATTTCCCATCACGCGGACCCAAGCTCCGTCACAGGGCCCTACAAACTGCTAGGGAAGCTGGAGAAACATTCTAGCTGTGTGTCCAGGAGGAAAGGGACCTGCTTTGGTGCACGCACAGCAGAGTCTGCCCTGGGAGTCCACAGAGGGTTGTAAAGTGAGGCCCTTGTCTACCTGCAGTAGGAGTGAAGAACTGAACTGATGTCGACCGTTTTGGCTTTGCAGACAAACTCATGTGATCAAAACCTAAGTCTTTGCCTCGAATTCATTGAACAAGTTGCCAGGGTACAGGGACAACTCTTCGGAATCCTCACTATAACAGCTCAAGAAGGTGAGAATAACCTGTGTCCCCCCACCCCTTTGGAAAGTCTTTTCTTTGTGCTGTCTGAGTTGGTGTGGTAGGATTTCACTCGCTGACCTGACTTGTGGGTTATTTTAGGAGGACATTATGATGGTGTGCAAGTAATCAAATCGCGCCTTTTGCCGTGGCTGGAGGCCTCCTTTACTGCTGCTTCCATGGGAAAACCTGTTGACAGCAAGGTCCCCTCTCTACAGGTATGAATGCTAAAGATTCTCCTTGACTTTCAGTACCTCGAGCAGGCTCTGGGAACTCAAGTATAGGTTTTGACCTAGAGAGGGGCTCAACTCTACTTTAGGAGATTGGGACACAGGTATGAAAGGTGAGTTTCTGTTTACAGTAGTATGGGGCATATTGGATTGAGTTTTCTCTTAAAAAAGACCTGGATTAAAACATCAGGTTTGCTTACTTTTTAGTCGTGTGACCAGGCCAGTCATCAAGCCTCGGCTTCCTTGGCTATAAAAAGGGCCTGGTGATGATCGCTGTGTGGTGCACTGCTTGGCCCACACTAGGCATTAAATAGTAACTTTTAGAAGATAAAAACAGTCACCCAGACAGTTAGGGTACCACAGGGGCTCGGAAGAGAAAGAGATTATTAGATAGGAAGAGCTCAGTATTCTGAAAGAGTGAAATGAAATGAATTGGAAAATCCAAGATAACAAGAAAGCTCAATTCTGGTTGACTGATAAAGGGCATCATAATTTCTGGCTGATCTGGCTTCAGAGGACAGGGTCAGTGTTTTAACAGCTGGAGATGAGATTAGAGAACATATACCTTGCTTAAGGCATTGGTATTATTGTATGTTGGTAAGCAAAACATAGTGACCTTGATTTTAAATGTCTATATGGATCTCCATAAATTTCTTTCTAAAATGGAGGCATATTGAACAGGTTATTCTAAGTAATGGGGCCTTATGAGGTAATGGCTGAAGGGTTTCTGTTAGGGATCACTGGACAGAATTCTTGTCCCTCTTCTATGGTCCTGGGTAGGTTGTCTAACCTTTTAAGTCTTAGTGTCTTTGTGTGCTAAATGGGGGGCAATGTTTTTGCTGGCCTAATAGGGTCATTGGGAGAATTAAATGTGATAAGCATGAGAGGCAACTTACGTGTCTTAAGTTTTCTGTAAATATCAGTTGTCTTTAAGCAATTTTTTCCCCTGGGGATTTTTGTATGCTGCCTAGATTCTTACCTACTATGCATGTTATTCAGAGTATAGAGATATAGGATGATATTTAAATGCCTTTCTTAAAATCGAGGTATAATTTACCTACAGTGGCATCCATAGGTTGATGCCTTTTGACAAATGCTTATTATATCCATGTAACTCTCACCCCTATTGAGATATAAAACATTTCCCCCACTCTGGGGCATTCCTTGGCCACTCCTCAGGCATGTCCCTGTACCCCCAGGGCAGCCGCCCTTCTGATTTTTCCATTCCAGACCACTTTTGTCGGCACGAGGACTTCCTGCAAATGGACTCCCACATTATGTACTCTTTATTTTGTGCTTGGCTTCCTCTCACAGCTTCATACTTGTGCAGTCTGGCCATGGTGTTTCACGTGCTCAGACTATTTTTTGATGCGTGTATCTTCCCAGGACACGTTTGATAAGGAGAGACAGAAGGAGTCTAGTGCTCGGGACCGGGACTCACAGCAGTTAGACTCGGAGCTGAGGGCGACTCGCAGCCAACTCAACCAGGTTCAAGACGAGTAAGAGGAATGCAAGTTATCTTTTTCCAAAAAGAGTTCATTTTTCATTTTAATTTTTAAGTTTGAAAGGATAGTCATGTATAATTATTTGCTAATTATGTGTGTGTGTGTGTGTGTGTGTGTGTGTGGTTGGTGTCTGTGAATCTGGGGCCAGGGTTCCCCTAGTGTGTAGTGACCCCTATGGCCCAGGTTCTCTTGGCTCCATTCCTGGAGCTCCTTCCTTTCCATAGGCTCATTATTAGCCCACATTTATAAACAAAGGAAGATTGTTCCATGAAAAATCTACTTTTTAGGGAGAAGAAAAAGAAAAGATGCAGAGGGAATGGGTTAGGGAGGGCAAATAGAAAACTTCAGAGAGGAAGCAAGATGAAGCAGGCTGCATCTGATGGTCAGCTGCACTCGTTTGGGGGGTGAGACTGAGAGAGCAGACTCTTTAAATGATGAACAGTTCAAGAGTCTGGAGTAACTATTAGATATAAAAATGTATTTAAAAAAAGTTAAGCAGTGCCAGGCAGCAACAGACACCAGAGTCATGCTGTGCACACAACCAGGGTAGCCGCTGAAGGAATCGCCACAAAGGAAATGGCTAACTTGGGATTGCACTTGAGGAAGAGAGACATACATGCAGGAAACTGCATTTGACACGCTTAACAAAACGCCATCAATCAACAAAGCGTTTCCTCCTCCTACGGCATCGATCCACTGTGGACGTGTGTGGGGCAGCAAGGAATTCTTTGTTCAGTAGTTCGGGCTTCTGATGGAGTAGGGTGTGGCCTTCTGCCTCGTTCTCTGAAGAGATTTCCTCCTAAGGCCAACCTCTCTACTGATTTCATTTTGCCTGATTAGAAAATACAGATTTCTTTCTCGAATTGCATACAACAAATAAGAGTATAGAAGTGCAAGTCACCCATTATCTCGTCGCTGTTAATATTTTGGTTTTGGTCTATTTTACTCCAGACCTTTTTTTTTGTGCGTGCTCTGTGCACCCCTCCACACGCCCCCATTCACTATTCTAATTGGAACCTTCATCCATGAGCAGTTTTATAGCTGCAGCAGTCAAAGTTGGCAAATGTAAGGTACAAAAAGCATAATTCCTCTGAATTTTTGCAACCTATTTCAACTAACATCAGCTGATTTGGAGTGAGGTGAGGAAGATCCTTAGGTTTGCTCCTTCTTTTCTGGTTTATTGTAGTTCTTTTTGTGTAAATACTCAGTTAATTACAAGTCCAGACTTCCATCAGGGGCGCTGTGTGCCCTCTCCAGGGGTCTAGTTGCTTTTGCTTCCTTAGACGGATATCTAGGGGTAGAAGGGTACTCGCCTGCCCTTCTGGTGCTGGGGGAGAAAGGCTTTGGTCTTGTGCTGCCTGCTGGGTTCTTGCACAAAACAGTTCCATCGGGGCATTGATGTCTTATGCTGATGGTTGCCACACTGTGGCTTGTGTGGTTAGGTCTCTGGGGCATTGACTGCTCGCTGCCACTGCTGACTAGGTGGCTCCATTTACCTCTTGCTTCTTTGAGATTTTGCTGGTTCTCTCTTTTGCCTGCCCTAATAGGAGGCAGGAATTCCTACCTCCCTCTCTTATCACTATAGTTCTATAGTTAGCTATAAGGGGCAACTTGGACTGAGAAACTATGACTGCATGCATTTTTTAAACTTCTAATTTGCAAGTAATATGAAATACATAAAATTTGCAAGAGGCATACTAAGAGCACCCATATACCCTCCCATATAGCTTTGCCCTGTTTGCTCGATCATTTGCATGTGTGTGTTCTCTTTAACTATATATATATCCCCGTCCCCCACCATCCATCTGAAAGTTGCATACAGGAAAGTACTTGTTGCTTGTCTCTGAATTTCCTAGTTTTTTTTGTTGGTGTTTTTTTATGAACCCACCTATGGTTCATATTCTATTTTTATTTAAGGCCTCACACCTTCTGTGGCAACCAGCTCCCCGCTCCCTCTCCTACTCTGCCTACCTGTCTCTAAAGTCAGGGTGCTACCTGCTGTGGAATGAGTGACCCACCCAAGGAGGTGCCCCTGTCTGACCTTGTGGAGACCAGCTTGGCTGTGACTCAATTGGAAAGGTGCACATTCCAGTGCGGGGCTGAATGGCTCGGGTCTGCCCAGGACTGACAAACTCTGGACCAGGGAAGTCTGTTTGATTTTATGCCTGGACTCTGGTTAGGAATCTCACTTTTCTGCATTTCTTATATCTTAATCAGTGAGACTATCCAGTCCAATCTGCTTTCTAAGCATCTCCCACACTTGTCCCTTTTTTTTCTATTTTACTGCTCTGGTTCAAACTTCTGATACCTCTTGCCTCAACTCATTACCTTCCAACTGGTTTCCCTGTTTCCATTCTTGCCTGCTACAAGCCATTTCTCACATAGAAAATATAGATATATTTTTATTTTATTATGTCATCACCCTGCTAGAATGCTGTGCGTAGCCTTCCTGGGACCCTGCAGCCCTGCATGACCTGACCCTGCCTCTCACATCACCCTCACGCCAGACTCTCCTCACCTAGTCTGCTGTCTGCTGCTGCTTCACCGTGAGGCCTTTCAGGAAAATGGAAGTGTCCTGCTGGCTGCTTGCATGGTTGGCTCCTAATTGTTCTTCAGGCCTCAGCTTAAATGTGACTTTCTCAGAGTCCGTTTGTGACCACGATACATCAAAAGGTCCTTCCTGTTCCTCTCCTTAAATTCTCTTCCACAATTAGGAATAGCACTTCCTACAATTTGGAGCCTTTAAACAGTTGCTTGCATATTTGTGAACTGGTGGACTGGAAACTCCTGAGGGTTACTTACTGTCTTGTATCGATGTTTTCACACGCTGTATCTTCAGTACTCAGCGTCATGCCTGGTGCAGTCAGTTTTCAGTAATTTGCTTATGAATGAATAAATCCATAACAAAAAATTTAAGTAAATATTCATGTGCTTAAAACAATTCTTGGCCCATGAATGTGCCTCCCCTTCTCACTGTATGTCATCCAAGGCACCACATTAGCATGTATGTTTGCGTATATGTATATGTGTTCATAGGTATATGCCATGTTTTGAAAGGAAAAACCTACTTTATTCCTGTTTTCTACTCTTTCACTTCTTAGCTCATTTTGTCCATTTAATTTTTTTCTCCAGTTGTCTCCCTCTAAAGTGTTCATTTTTCCACATGTACTTTTAAAAACCTAGAACACATTCACATTTGAATTAGATCACAACAATTCCTTTCAACTTGCAGCAGGCCTGTTGCGAAGTTATTGCTTCTATGGCTTTGTTTTACTTTAGACCTTTTGTTCATTCATTTTGGGTGTTTAAAAAATGTATCTACTCTATGATAGGCACTTTTTTAGGTGCCAGGGATAAACAGATACATAAAATGGAGTTTTTGTCCTCGGGCAGCGCACAGTGTGTCTGTGGTGAGACTGCTGAGTGGAGCTGAGCCAAGCAGAGTGGTGCAGGAGCTCGGGGGGGTGTCAGGGGTCTGCAGAGGGGCACTCTAGGGTGAGGACCTGTTGTGTGGGTGGGGATGGCAGTGTTTCTCTTTTAGCCTCAGGACTACTGTGATGAAAGAGCCCGATGTTCTAGGGAAGTAGGGCCACCTAAGTCAAGACTTCTTTGCCAACCCATGATCTCTCACAGCACGAGGACAACTTAACTGAGCACCATTGGTCTTCGTCCACTGTCAGCCAGGACATTCCAATTTCCTTTTAACTTTAGGTAGGCTTAAAGAAATGGTGTCATTTACTATGATTTGCCTGCGGTGGGGAGAGTCATTACAATGAACAGTGACTGAGTTGTGCAGAAAACTCAGGAAACTCATGCTTAATAAGGGATGGAAGTCAGAGGCAGACACCCACAGAATGGATGGCAGTCAGCTGTAATTGTGGAGCAGTGTATAGGTGGGAAAGAAATTTTTTTAATATTAAGGAAGTCTAGAAAAATTAAGTCAAATTCAGCTTTACCATGCCAAGTAATCAGAAGAGGCAGTAATATATTGCAGAAAATGAAGATTTTATAGAGTGAGGCGACCTGGAGACCTGGTGTCATTTAAGCAGATGAATTAGGAGGGTGGGAAGGAGGAATTGAACAAGTTTCTTTGTCCTTTACATTTTACTATTAATTGTTACGACATAGCCTTTTAGGGGGTTGTAGCTTTATAATTTCTTTGTGTCTGACACAGGAAAGACGCGAGCATGTTTTTGCATCTAAGTGTACCATAATGTTTCCAATGTCATCTGATTGAATGCAGATGTCTTATAATTTGATCTTGTTTATGTCAAATTTGTGTCATATGCCAAGAGTTCTCTCCCAAGAGAGAACCTATGCCTTGATTTAGAAAGTCTGCCAGTTTTGGAAAATCTGTCTTTAGTTACCGATTTCTCTTACAGTCTGGCTGAAAGCGCAAAGACTCTTGAAGCAACCAAGAACAGATCGGCCATATCCCTTTTGGCTGCAGAGGAGGAAATAAATCAGCTAAGAAAGCAGTAAGGAAAAAAAATGACAGGATTATTGCAGCCTGCTGATTAATCTTTGAATTTAGCTTTTTTGGTGTTCCATTACAATATGAAAGAATCTGTTCACAATCAAAGAGGAAAGGGAACAATATTTTTATTAGCATTTTAGATATTTTTCTTACTATAAAAACGTTACCTGTCTACCAAAGAGAATTTCCAAAGTACAGTGTAATATAAAGGAAACTAGAAAACCTTTCTAGAACCAGTTATTGTTACCATTTGACATTCCAATTCGTACATTAGAAATAGAGTTAAGACTACAAAGTAAGTCTAAGTTTACAATTTTGGACCCCATTTTTCCACTTAACATTGGTTCTCTCTATCAATAATAAAAAAAAAACACTGCAGAACTTAGTTTTGAATAGCTGTGTTGTATTCCAGCCTTCTGGTATTTCCCTAATATCGAATATTTACTTTGATACACTTTTCAACATCAGAAATAACATTGTGATGATTTCTGTGGCAAATCTTGGTTTAAATTTCAGATTATTTTCTAAAGATAAATTTGTAGAAGGGAAAGATAAATACTGATCCTTCCTTGGCTTTCATTTTGATACTTTCACCCCAAAAAGAGCAAGTGGAAAATGTATTAAAATCCATATATGTAAATATACACATATTTCTATATGAATACCATTCTATTGCTTTCACACACATTCCCATTGTTTTGATTTCTTCAGCAACACCCCTAAATTTCAGCTCCGAGCCCATTCTGGCTTCCATTCCTGTCTCCCTGCTCATCATGTCAATTTCAATCTCTTCCTCCTATTTGATATATACCCTCTCAGAGGCATCAATCAGATTACCCAGCGATTCTGTTCTTTACTGTTTCTAGCACAGCTTTTAACCTGCTGTTGCGTTTTTAGCATCTCCCCATCCTTCTCAGTCTTACCCCTCCCCATTTCATCTTATAGCACTGACGTTTGCCTCCCAGTGGCAAACGTTTTTCTTACGTCTTTCGCTCCTGTTGGATGATGGCCATACCTCTTTGTGTCTTTACAAGGATGCCAGTTTTATTTCTAAAGCTTTGTTTCTGTAATACGTACATTATTTCCATAGGTCACACTTCCACCCAGTATTGTGCATGATATTCAATTTCCATTGTAATTTACCCCCATAGTCCATCTTCAGAGATAATATCTTTGCCCGGCTTCTGGACAGATGCTTCTAGAATTTTGTGCAGTTATATCAGTCCAGCCTAAAACAGTATGACCACAGGCCCGCTCTGCTTTTGCTAGAGGATCTGCATGTGTAACTTTTGTTCAAGAGCCTTTTCCAATGCAAGTTGCAGACATGGAGTGACCCCCCGACCTGGCAAGTTTACTCTTTGCTAATTGCGTTTGTTCCTGTGTATTTTCATTAGAGTTTTCCAATGCAATAATGGCATACAAAGTAGACTAGCTTTTGTTTTAAATATGCCAACTGTTGCTTATTACCTTTCCTTCTTCCCTCTCTTTTCTTTCTTTACTTAATTTTTTTTTTCTTGTTTAGGCTTAAATCTCTTCAAGCCCAGGAGGAGTCCCGCCACAGAAACGCAGCGAATAGGACCTCTGCGCGTAGGACCGGAGAGCTGCGTGCTGAGCCCAGGGCCTCTGAGCTGAGAAGAACGAAGGATCGCAGCTCCGACAAGCGTGGCTCGGACAGGTCGGACAGGCGTGTCTCGGAGAGATCGGACAGGCGTGTCTCGGACAGGTCGGACAGGCGTGTCTCGGACAGGTCGGACCAGCGTGGCTCCGACAGCTTAGACAAGCGTGGCTCGGACAGGTCTGACTCAGAAGTGATATCCGATTATGAGAAACAGCTCCGAACCTTGAAGGACGAGATCGCCGTTCTGTCTGCTGAAAAATCCGTCCTCCAAGGAAGGTCCGACGCATTCTCACGGAGTTTTTCATTTAAGTTCCTTTTGTTTGCGATAAAAGCCTTGTTTGGGGGTGGTGGTGGGGGGGGGAAGAAAAAAGTAAAATGACATCCTGGAATCCAAACCCCTACAATATGGGAAGATTTGAAGTGTAAGGTGTTTGTTTTTTCTAACTGCACCTTTCCAGAGAGAGAAGCCATCTAGTGGATGGCAGTACTTAGGCACTAATATGGGGCTCATACTGACGCTCAAGGAATGAAACTGAGAGGGTCTGAGATGGGGAAGTTCTTTGGCTTGAAACTAGACAGACGGCCTGGAAGGCAAGAGGTGGTACCCACACTGCGAGAATGTTCCATGAAACGAGGGTCCTATTCTCTTAGGGCCTGAGCGTCTTAGATGACCAACTGTCATTTTACTGTAGGCTATTTCATTTTTGTAGCTTTGTTTGAGGAAAGTGTAGGTAAGTGTTCTTGGGAAATCCCTCACTACTCGCAGACAGCCGTTAAGACACGTCATTCTGGCCGTGGTGGGTGAAGACAGAGTGGGCTGTTTGTCTTTGGAGTCATCACATTTGCCCTTTTCTTTACAGCCCCTCCCCCAGCCTGATAACAAGCCCTGATTCAAGTGATTAAAGCCACCCCCAGGCCAGGTCCCCATTCCACTAAATGTTACCTCAGTCTTTTATTTTTGGGAATCACTCCTCCTTCCTGTTGTGCTGCTGCTGGCTTGTACTGACTCCGAAGAACGTATTCTGGGCCTTTCTGCCTGAGATCGGCCATGGTTCGAGTATTTTTTGTACCATGGAAATTGACAAATACTATTCTTAAAAAATACTTTATTTATTTATCTTTAGAGGGGAAGGGAAGGAGAGAGGGAGAGAAATATCAACGTATGGTTGCCTCTTGTGCATCCCCTGCTGGGAACTGGCCTGCAACCCAGGCATGTGCCCTGACTGGGAATCTAACCGAGATCCTTTGGTTTGCAGGCCCGGGCTCAGTCCACTGAGCTACACCAGCCAGCGCGACAAATACTATTAATAAGGGCTTCCCCACCCCTTCAGAATCCACTTTGCACTACCTTTTGCCCCATAGTTACTTCTACAACACTTCCTTTGGGGGGGGTATTGTTTTTGAGCCAGCATGATAATTTCTGTTGTATTTGGTAGCTATGAATGTTTTACAAACAACATGCTTTCCAATTCGCCAAGTACTGCCAAGTGTTAGCTTACTTGATCTTCTAACCCCCACCCCCACCCCACCCTATCCCCACCCCAGCAAAAATGATGTAGTAAAAACTGAGGTTCTGGAGAGGAGAAGTGATTGCAAGCGCTCCTGCTGCTGTGGCCTCGTAGAGCTGGGGCTGCAACACAGGCCTCCTTTCCCACTGTTCCGTGTTCATCTCATTTTATACCATAAGGCGCCCCAAGGCCGAGGTATGAAATAAAGAAAATCTGACTTCTTTAGCTCTGGCTCTTACTAGCTGTGTTACTCCGGGACAGCCAGTTAACTGTTCTGAGCTTCAAGTTCCTCATCTGTAAAATGGCCAACAATCAATGCCAGCCTCACAGGGCTGCTTAAAGGATAAATCGAGGTGCTCAGTGAGTGTGAGTGCTTCACGGATTCTAACTCACCACGGAAACAGAGAGTCTGTTTCGTGGCTGTGGTCACATCTGAGGCTATGCGGAGACACAGTGCTTCCCACGGGCCTTGTGGGGGCGTCCTGGAGCCACTGCTTTCCGGGCCTGCAGGGCCCAGTGCTCTCAAGTATCATTTGCAGTCGACGTAGGAGACGCAGAGTCCTAGAAGGACAGAGGAGTGAATCGGAGGGCTTCCCTGTTGATTCTTGCTTACCAACAGGTCCACCAGGAGCCGGTCGCCGAGCCCTGCCCCTCGCAGCCGCAGTCCCAGCCGCAGCCGCAGCCACAGCCGCGGCCGAAGCCACAGTCGCAGTCATAGCCGTAGCCGCAGCCGCAGCCACAGCCACAGCCGGCCAGGCAGCCCCTCCAACGCAGTGGTGAAGGTCAGGACCCCATCTCCGAATCGCGCCAAACTGTCCAGTGCGGCGCGCAAGGCTGCCCTGGTGTCCCGGTTCAGCGATGCCTACTCCCAGGCCCGCCTGGACGCGCAGTGCCTGCTGCGGCAATGCATCGACAAGGCCGAGACAGTGCAGAGGATCATCTACATCGCCACAGTGGTATGTGACGCCACTCCGGCCTCGCCCCAGCAGCTCTTGGGCGCAGCAGGGAGAACGCAGTTTGGCAAACTGAACAGTACAGCTTAGAAAGACTGGTAGATCCTGAGGTCCCTGCAAGGGATTTCCATGCAGTCCCCTTCCTCCCTCTTTCCCAGTCCTTCCATTGCAAATATTTCGGATGAGTCACTTTTCAGAATCAATAACTACTCATATGTATTATTACTGATATTGACTAGACACTTTCGAACTATTTATAACTGTAGGACAATCTGGGATGAGACTTTGATTTGCACGGAATCTTCCTAGTGGGCATGGATATATATCAGTGGGTAGATTATTGCTAATGGCTATCATTTGATTGATTTCCTTCCATTCTTAGAAAGACCAGAAGAATGGTTACTGAAACTGCTACTGTATCAGCTACTTGAGTATGGCAAATTAAAAAGTGCTCATATATAATCCTAATTCCAAAGCAAATGAGTTTGTTCCTTTGGTACGATATTGAGATATTGGGTCCATTATGAGAACAGTTCAATATTAAATAAAACAGGCATTAGTATGAGAGTAGAATTATCAGCATCTATTATACTTTATTGTATATTTATTAATTTATGTTAAGGGTCAGCAAACTAGAACCTGTAGATCAGGGGCGTCAAACTCATTTTCACCAGGGGCCACATCAGCCTCGCGGTTGCCTTCAAAGATGTGGCCCTCAGTGAAGATGTGACACCCCCGCCATAGACAGTAACTGGCCATGATCTGTATTTCTAAGAAAAATGTGACCCGCAAAAACTAAAATATTGGATTGGCCAAAAAGTCCGTATGGTTTTTTCCATAAAGTTAAAGACATTTTTCATTTTCACCAGTAACTTTATTGATTTGGATATTTTGAGAACGTCAGCTATCTCCCGTGTGGTAGAATGTCAGTCATTCTCAATGTCTCGATTTGATCACTATCAACTTCAACTGGTCTACCCAACTGTGGAACATTGTCCAGTGAGAAATCTCCAGCATGAAACTTTGCAAACCGCTTTTGACACATTTGATCAGTCACAGCGCCTTCTTCGTACACTGCACAAATCTTTTTTTGCATTTCAGTTGCATTTTTACCTTTCTTGAAATATATATGCTGAAAATGTTGAATATTTTATTCCATCTTCAATGTTAAAATGGCTATACCAAAATTCATGAATTTTGCTGTTTTTAAAAAAATGCACATTGTTATGATAACTGTCACAATACAATCTGACAAAATTGTTTTGAATGAAGTTAAAGACAACTAAGCGCTACTAGAGCCATCTGATAGGAAAAATCAAATGAACTTTCTAGCCAGTGCAGTATATACTGTCTGGCTCCTTAAAGGAAAATGTTTACCAGTCTCTGGTTTGAGTCAGTTACTGAGTTGGTTAAAGTTCTGTAAGCATAGAAGCCATGTCTTTCCTGTATAACTAAGTTTTCCCAGTGCTGACTACATAACAGGCACTTAATAAATTTTTGTTGAATATGTCAGGAAATATGCCCAACACTCTAGTATCTCTGTGTAACAAACACTAGATTGATAACCTTCTTTTATTTTTTGACCAGTAATACGGCTTTGCTATGGAATCATAGCACAGGCTAGCATTTTCCAAGTATTTATGTAACCACAGATGACTTATTTCCTTGAACTTCTGTCCTGCACTCCATATTACCAGAACGATGATCCACTATCTTTAAATTAGTGAATGTGGACAGTCGGATATGTATTTATGTACTTTTCAAAATTGAGATATACATTTTCTCCCAGATTGAAAATAGTTTTGACCAACTGTGTTTAGTTACCAGAAGACCCGTATGATGTCAAGTTTTTGGTGGATGTTCTTTCTTCATTCCTTGCTTTGGGCCTCTTTGCCCCGCTCCTCTCACTGGATAAATCTGCTGCAATTTTTATGTGCAGGAGGCATTCCATGTAGCTAAAATGGCATTCAGACATTTCAAGATCCGTGTGAGGAAATCTTTGACACCGTCTTATGCAGGGTCTAACGAATTCGACGATGCCGTCTCGGAGTACATCATTTGCCATCTTGATCTATATGATTCCCAAAGCAGTGTCAACGTAAGTGCTGGGTTTCTTACTGGGGCTGGTGCGCCGAACACTGATAGCCCAGAAACCCCTTCAGTGCCCCGTTTCTGTAACGGAAGAGCAGGAAGGAGCAGCATCTGATTTACTTTGTAGAACGAGTCAGTATTGGCTGTTTCTTTCTTAGACATCATATGGGGGAAAATATTCTGACCTCTATAGTTCTATTCTTTAGATCAGCGATGTTGAACTAGTGTGTCATGGCACACTGGTGTGCTGCAAGAATTTTTAAAATATTGAGTACTTGACTATTTAGTCAGGGGCACTGACTTTTTTTCACTTAGCTTGTCAAATAAAAAACATGAAAACAGCCAACATAGCAATAGTTGTCTGGTGTGAATGAATCAAAATTATATTTTTTTTAATGTCAGATAGGTAAAAAAATTTTTTTGGTGTGCAGCAGAATTTTAGTAAGTAGTCTGTGTGTGGCATGAGATGAAAAGTGTTGAAAATCTCTGCCTTAGATGGGCCCTTAAGATCAGAAGATAGAAATCACATTGCCTAAGGTTTTGGAAAAGTAAGTGTGGGATTCGCATCCTGGCCCTGCTGCTTACTAGCTGTGTGACCTTACACATTTACTTAACTTCCCTGTGCCTTAGTTTTCTAACCTTCAAATGGGAACAGGGATAGTCATGACCCTATAGCATTCTTGAGAGGATTAAATGAAAGAAAGCAGATCATTTGCTTAGCACAAAACTTGGCACATAGTAAACTCTTAATAAAAGCAAGCTATTATAATTGTTATTATTATAGATTATAAACAGGTCAGAGTTCTGTGTTGGTGCATCATAGAACTTGCCCAGGGTTTAGGGAAAAAAGGAAAGAATAAATAAAAGCTACTTAGGGTTTTTTTCTGTAATTTTTTTGAGACTTTGGCCTTCAGTATGTGATTTGCGCTCTGCCATCGCTCCTCCCTCCCGATTACTGAGCTTCCCCCTGTGAACTCCCTCTCTAGTTTAACTGTCTTCACTCCTGTTTTCTTTACCCCCTCCATCCGTCCTAACGTTCTTAGGGTTGTCAGAGTTTCAGGTCCCAGGTTGGTAACAAGGCGATGCCATCTTTTTGTTTTTCAGGACGTAATCCGAGCCATGAACGTCAACCCCAAGATTTCGTTCCCTCCGGAAGTGGACTTTTGCCTCCTCAGTAACTTCATCCAGGAGATATGCTGCATTGCCTTTGCGATGCAGACGTTAGAGCCACCCCTAGACATTGCGTTTGGGGCCGATGGAGAAGTTTTTAATGATTCCAAGTAAGAGACATAGGGGCAGAAGCTAAGGGATGTAAATGTGATCTTGTCTCTATTTCCTGGGAACAATTTAGGGAAAAGAACTCTGGGTAAGGAAATCGACAGAGACTACCTGAGTTCCAGGTCCTGCCATGTCCTTCTCTGTCACTATAGGAGAGGGCCCTCTCCTGGGGTCCTTTCCTTCCCAGTCAAATGTGATTCAGAGGGGACAATATGGTTTTCATAGATCATATTGATATTGGGGAGAACTAATAAGTCCCTGAAAGCTTTCTGGAACATTGTGAAAGAAAGGTGCTACATAAATACAAATACGTGTTACTTTTTATTGTTTAAAGACTTTATACTGAGGTATAGTTGACATATAACTTTATATTAGCTTCAGGTGTACAACATAATGATGCTATATTTGTGCATATTGCAAAATGCTTACCACAATACATCTAGTTAACATCTGTCACCATGCATGGCTACAGAATTTTTTTCTTGTGCTGAGAACTTTAAAGATCTACTCTTTTAGCAACTTTCAAATATGCAACTCAGTATTATTAACTATAATCACCATGCTGTACATTAAATCTCCTGACTTATTTTAGATTTGAAAGTTTGTGTCTTTTAAGACCTCCTTAACCCATTTCGCTCACCCCGAATGCCTCTGGCAACTACCAGTCTGTTTTTTTTTTAAATTTATGAGCTTGGTTTTTGTTTGTGTGTTTGTTTTTTAGATTCTGCATACAAGTAAGTATTTGTATTATATACAAGTAAGTATTTGGGTTATATAGTATTTGTTGTTCTTTGTTTTATATCTCTTAGTATAATGCCCTTAAGGTCCAGCCATGTTGTTGCAAATGGCAAGATTTTACTCTTTTTTTTTTAAAGATTTTATTCATTTGTCCTTAGAGGGGAAGAGAAGGAGAAAGGGAGAGTAATATCAATGTATGGTTGCCTCTCATGTGTTCCCTGCTGGGAACTGGCCTGCAACCTGGGCATGTGCCCTGACTGGGAATCAAACCGCGATCCCTTAGTTCGCAGGCCCATGCTCAGTCCACTGAGCTACACCAGCCAGGGCTCATTCTTTTTTATGGCTGAGTAATATGTCATCACATATATAAAATCTCACATCTTTATCCACAGACACTTAGGTTGTTTACATATCTTGGCTGTTGTAAATAATGCTGCAATGCACATAAGGGTGCATACATCTTTTTTGAATTTGTGTTTTTGTTTTCTTTAGGTAAGTACCCAGAAGTGGAATTGCTGGATCATGTGCTAGTTCTGTTTTTAATGGTTTTTGAGGAAGCTCCACACTGTTTTCCACAGTGGTGCACCAATTCACGTTCCCACCCACAGTGCACAAGTGTTTACCTCCTCACTGAAACTTATTTCTTGTCTTTTTGGTAGTAGTCATTCTAATATGTATGAGGTGATATCTCATTGGGGTTTTGATTTGTATCTTTTAATGTACCCATTGGCCATCTGGATGTCTTCTTTGGAAAAATGTCTATTCAGATTCTCTGCCCATTTAAAAGTCGGATTGAGGGTGTTTTTTGTTGTTGTTTTATTGGTTTTTACTACATTATTTAGGCCAGATTTCTCAACGCGTGGTGTATAGATTCCCTGCATCAGAATTGCTCAAGATATTTACTGAAAATGCAGGTTCCTGGATTGCATTCAATGGTATTTAATTTAGTAGGTCTGGGGAATCTGTAATTTAAGAAGTGCCTGAGTGTTCTTTGTGCACACCAAGATTTCAAAGTGACCTTTTATCTAGGACCATTAGACTTCTGCCAAGTGTCACATGGTAAATGTTTCCCTTATAAATCAGAAGAAATGAAATTAATTTAGAACACTTTGCTGACACTTTATGAGGTCTTATGCTCTAGCTGGAGGTTATCTGGGAGGAGGCCCGGTGGGTAAGGACAGAGGCTCTGGTGTTGAGCTGCCTGGGTCCCAGTCCTGGCTCCACCACGAATTAGCTGAACGATCTGGGCATGTTACTTAAATTTTTGCATTCCTTAGTTTCTTCTCTGTCAAATGGGGGAAATAATAACCCCTCCCTCCCAGGCCTGTAGAGGTTTGTTGAGATCATGCAGATAGAGTGCTTCAGGACACTGCCTGGCACCTGGTGTATGCTCAGGAAACATTAGCTCTGGTCTTCTTTCAGGCTGCAGAGCCACGAGGACGTGGCAGCCCCATACTCCTACAAGCTTGTGAATGATGGAGACCACACATCTCTCTTTGGCTTATGAAAATCACAGTACAGTGGTGTCTCTGGTTGCCTCATAGTCTGTCACATTTCCTTGCCATTGCCTTACTTCTAGTTTCTTTCAGATCACCCCTCCCAGTGTACCTCTACTCAAGGGAGAGCTGAATATTAGAACACAGCACTGTAGTGGGGCCTTTTTGGTTCTCTTATAGGACGTATCTGTATCTTCTTTTTAAAAATTCCCTTTCCCTTTAGAGGACATAGGGTCCCACTCCAACACTCGTCCGCTCGGGTTTGTGGGATCTGCACACTTCGCAGACCCTCTCGCGGGCCCCCCCGCTCACATGCCTGTGATCAGAGGGAAGGCGCAGCCTCTCGGGGCCTGCCGTGCACTGTACTTCTGTGTGGCTGTGGCGTGGAAACGAGTTCCTAGTAATGACTGGGTTTGGTCCCACCTCTGAGGGCTTCACAGCACAAGTCTAATTATTATTATTATTCTCCTCCTCCTCCTTCACTTTGTCAGCCTTTCACACATTTAAAAGCAATTAATCCAATGCTCCTTCTTCTGGCCTCATGCCTTCAGATTCTTTCCATGTGCAGTGGGGGGTGTTGAGACTTCTCGACAAACAGAACTGTTTCCTTGGCCTGTGCTCCATGCTCTTGTGAGTGCGTTCTTCCCAAGGCGACACCTAAAGTGGTTGCCTGGTCTGAACTGACCAGTCTAGAGGGACTGACACCCTTTCCATTCTTATTCTCTATTAATTCAGCTAATTTTATGTTTTTCCAGGCATAAAACACTGTTCATTCATTCTGAGTTCAACTGAAATCTGTTTTATTTTTACTTTGGCTGTGATTAAGCCATTTACTACCTCTGTCTGTGTAGTGAAATGCTTTTTAAATTCAGTTGCAGGACCTGCTAGGCAGCCACATCACATGCTGTCTTACTAGATTCAGCTTATTTTTCTGGCCCGTTGAGCTATTTTTTGATACTGTCATCTGGTTTTTTTCCTGACCCACTCCCCAGCATTAAACAATTTTTCTGCAGTCCATGTGAATCATGGATGACTTTGTCGGTCCATCACTGCATGGGCAGACAGCCCTTTGCCCTTCATTTATGTTCTCATCGACCCCTTAAGCACCTCTTTTTAGATATGATCATCGAACCTGTTTCCAACCCACCAACTTCAGTTAACCATCCACCTATATTTTGTCCACAAAGATAGCATGAGAAATCTTATAGGGAGCCATGGGACTTCACATGGTCTCTAGTATTTCCCTGAATTGCAAATTGCATAGTCCAGAGGAGACCAAGGTTTGTCTTATATGACTTGTTCTCAGTGAGTCCATGCAGGTCCTTGTTATCGCTGGTTCCTATTGCAAGAGACCACAACCATCTCTTTAATAACAGAATGAGGACCCGCATTTATGTCGATCTGAGTGCAATCACAATGGAAATGTACACTGGTGCTCCCCCCAGGTGTGCTACATAATTGCTTAACTTCTCTTTCTCCTGCCTTTGTGTGTTTGACACAGGTACCGCCGCAGCTACGACTCCGATTTCAGTGCTCCCTTGGTCTTCTATCATGTGTGGCCTGCCCTCATGGAGAACGACATTGTCATTATGAAGGGAGAAGCTGTCACCAGGAGAGGGGCTTTTGTACGGTGGCCTTGCATAGTGACAATTCATCCCAAGTGTTTGATTCACAAGTTCGAGAACATTTATAAACCCAGAGATTCTATAAAAGAAGTTCTTAAAGAGTTGCTTGATAAGATTTCATACAAAGGAGAGGAAAGGACAGATTCTTTTGTTTGATTTGTCCATCATTCTTCATAATTTCCTGGCAGTAATTTCTATGTCTGTTGCTTTATCTTATAAGATAAAACTAGTCCTACCTACTTCCCCTATCTGATAATATTAAGCTATTGTAAGGGTAAAACCCATTGACCTCACCTTATGGGAGGCCCTCTATAACTCTAAGCATTTAAAAGTGATTAACGTTGAGGAAATATTTTACCAAATTTTTACGATCAATTCTCCATTTGGGGAAGCAATGAATGTGACCAGTTTTTCTCTCCTTAGTATGATGTGTAGAGAGGGGAGGGGTAGAGGCAAAGAGGGCAGAGGAGGTGGGGAGCCAATCATTGGGAGGTTCTTCCTGTGTACATTGGTTGTAGAATATTTTGAATATGTGGAACAATTGGGCAACCTTCAAAATGGTCTTAGATATGCAAGTGTCTGAGTGTGTGTGTGTTTTGTTGTGGGGACTGGGTACAGGAGCTGGTGGCCATGAGCACTCGGACATTCTTTAGAGTGAACATTACAAAGTTTGTACCCTGCCCTTCCTAGAAAGAGTTAAGTAAATCATGAAGTGAAGCTCCTCGGTCCCCATCAAAGTCACCATCAAAGCCACCATCGGCAAGGTTTCTGTTCCTGCGCTCTGGGCTGGAGCATAGAGGATGTGCTTCACGCAGCTTTTCACCCATATAGGGGAGAAGGGAAGTCATGTATCTTGAAAGAACTTAAGACAAGAGTTATTGCAACTTAAGTAGCCCACTTTAGCTAATAGTATCTCAATAACATACTTTGTGCAATGAGAGTTGAGCCCATAGGAACTGGGGTGTGTTGGTCTGAGAAACACACATGCTGTAGAGTGAATGAGCTCCTAACACATGCTTCTTGGCCCTACAGGAGTTACTCTTCATTAGGAAACTCTTATTGTAGAAACAGCCACTATTATGTTCTACACCAAATAGCAATAGCCTTCTAATTTCCTTCTCTCCCATCAAGCATATCACTAACAGCTACCCAAACTGAAACTCCTAATACCAAATAAGAATATATCCTAAGAGGAAGAACTTGGAAAAGGAAAGGGTTGAATGAAATGAAATTTTTAACAAGGATTTTTACAATACTAGTGAAATCTCTACAGTGAATATAGTTTTCTTCTTACTCATTAATTTAAAGGTGTGGTGGGCAGCAATGGTGATTCACTCAGTTACTCAATTCATTTCATTCAACAATTATTCTGCAGTTAAATAACTGCAGGGGCGGGAGGTTCAGCAGTGAACAGAACGGACTCAAATCCCTGCCCACAGGAAGCTTACTTTCTCCAACACTTGCAAACTCAATGTAATTTATAACAATCTAGGCATCAAAACAAAGTTTTACTAACACCAAGAGTGTGAATATCCCAAAGCTCAGTGTGATGGGATTTTATCTGAGAAATAGCATAAAGTCATTGTCACATATTGGGCAACTATGGTACATGAAAGGAGTGTCCCTCTGGCTGATGACCAGTGACAGACAAGTGCAGTCAGGTCAACCAAACCCCTCTATGTGTGGGATATGCATGCTGTTTTAAGTCATGGTAGTGTGTGTGAGCTTTTACCTATTTTTCTGTCTCTCTCACTTTAGTGGAATTCAGTGCGACCGGTAAGCCGATGTCGAAGCCGGAGTTTAAGTCCCATCTACCCTCGTAGCCATATTGGTTTAAGCACGGTACACATCTAATCATTTTTATACAACATCATCCTACGATTGACATGTTAAAAGTCAACAGTAGCCTGTAAAAGGGGTGGTTAGAAGTCACCTCTTTTGTGGGGGTGACTGTAAGGGGTGGAAATAGAACCTGTTGTAATGACCACAAACTGATTTGGTATACTTGGACGAAGGAATTGGTCATCTAGAAAGAAGTAGAGGTAGTTTTTTTCTGAATTAGTTAAAAGATTAATAGACTTATTTCATAGTTTTATTTTTGTCTTTGAAAGAAAATGGGCTACTAGATATCAGTTACTGGGCTGCTAGGTGCCTCGAACAAAAAGTGGGGCACCTTGGTCCGCTGGGCTCAGCACAGGCCCCACTCTCTCCAGAACTTTCTGGATGCTTTGGAGAAATTGCTCAAATGATCTGGATTTCAATGCTGTATAAAAGGCATTGCAGGTATTAATTTTCCTCCTAACTTTAAGAAGAATAAGATTAGTCTCTTTTCATATCAGTTCTTAGGAGGATTATTAATACTTCTGTCAAAGAAAAAATAATAGTAATATCTCTGAAAATGAAAAACACTGTTATGGTTCACCATTGTTGATTTATTCAACAAGTAATATTTAGTCAATGCCTTTTGAATGCAGGGCTGGACTGAGACATGTGGACACCAGACAGGCTAACAATGTGCCGTTCCTTCAAGCAAAAAATGTTACAATAGTGTTTTAGAGAGAGTGGTGGAGAGGGAGAAACACATCTGGTAACAGTCCACTTCTCCAAAATTATCTCTAGCGAAGCAGCTCTAGAGCCAAACTTCTACCTGACCACCCCCCACCCCAGCAAAACAAACACGAAAACCCCTGCAGTGATAAGACCCACCTCTCTCAGTTCAGTGAGCATCTAGTGTTAGTCCACCCACTGCGATACATCTGGTAACGTCCTATCTGATTCCGTATTCTGTATCTGATGGACACTAGAGTGCGGGGGTGGGAAGATGGGACACAAAGTAACTAAAACCTGTTCTCTTCCCTGAGTGGGTTTCAGCATAGGTAGATCAGTATGATTTAAACAAAGTAATTGAATGTGGTGTATGATTAGGTTCCTAAAAGAGGCAGAAAATACTAGCATTATCAGAGGAGGTGAGATGCCTTCTGGGTCTGGTGGTGAGAAGGGGACGCATGGGGGAGCTGGGACTGGATCTGGCAGAGTCTCAGTGAGCATGAGAGTTGGGGAGAAAAAGTCCAGATGAAGGAAATGGCTTGAGAATGGAAAAGGCATGAGTCCAACGCAGTTCTTTTGCTTTTGGAGATTTTAATGTAACTTAATTGTCCTTGTTCAGGACTAAGTATTTACAGTCAGTACAAGCAGAAGGACAGTGCATTTAGCAACCTGATGAACAGAAAGGAAATCTTGAGTTTTATGCTGGCAGAGCCACAGCACTCCTCAGACTAAGAGGAAGTGGTACATCAGAGGAAGGCGCAAATTAGACCCCTTCTCTGCTGACATCCTCGGCAGCGGCCCCTCCGGCCACGCCCTGGAGGAAGGCGTGCGTGGGCGCCGCCCCTTGTTAACAAGCTCCTGTCCGTGTTTGGCCCACCTCCTTTCTCCTTCCTGCCACCTGTCCAGGGAGAACAAAGCAATTTAAACTTCAGAGGAGAATAAAACACCTCCTCAAAGGTGAAAGTTTTGCCAAAGTTCTGTCCCTTTCCACCATCCTTTCCTTACAGCCAGACTGGTAGACTGCAAAGTAAGATCCGGACACGTTTGGTCAGTCTGGTCCTTGGCTTGTCCGAGGGCGTGGCTCCAGCCAGGCTCCACCTTCGTGCGCGCTGAGCCTCCGTGTTTGGGGGCGTGGAGCAAGATTGCCACTGGCGGTCCTTTATTTCGGAACCGCAACAGGTGGTGACTTTTGCTTAGTGAGAGCAAAGGCGAGATTTGAAAAACGATTTTTTTTTCTGGCTGCCTTGTGACTTTCCTTAATCGGGTGGTGTTTTGGACACACGAGATAATTCATATAAAGGCTCTGCTGGATAGTGTTTGACCGTTTGAGCTTTAATTAGTTAATAATAATCCTTTTCTGGAAAGCTTTGAATGCAGTATGGCCACTGAGTGTCAGAGCTAAGTATTTAGTAACCATTAACAGCAAAAACAAAAAGCAACAAAAAACTGGGACACCGAGCCCAGCTTTTAATTGATGATATAATTTAAACTAAATCAGGTGCCTGTTTACTTCGGGAAGTAAACAAGGAAGCTCAGTGCTCAGCCTTAGTGGGGGAAATCGTGGTCCTGAAGTGTCTCAGAGCAACTGAGTAGTTGGCGTGTCAGGGGGAAAAGGTCAGAAGGGTTCACTCACTGAGGTCTGTCTGCTGTGTGACCCTCACTCTCCTTGACTGTTTTCCAGCTGCCTCGGAGTCGGAGCCCTTCCCCGATAAGATGTGGATTGCCAAGTAAGTGCGGCGGTGTAGATGGAATGATTTTCTGTTTTGTTTTAGTTAATTAATTTATTTTAAATGTTCCTTTCTGACACCTTTCGCTTCTGGGCAGGTGGTTTCTGAATAAGCCCCATGGGTGACCTGGGAGGAGCCTGCAGTGGAGAGGTTTTATTGGCGTAAACCCGGATTGAGCGCCCTGTTTCATTTGGGTCCTATCAACAGAAACCCTTGAGAACATGACCATAATAATGAACTGGTTTCATTTTCTCCTCCCTAGGGTTTTAAAGCCACCAGACAGGCTCCTCTGTCTCCGCACACTTGTGACAGCCCGACAGCCACCTCCCAGCCCACCTGCCTGCTGCATCTGCCTCTCGCCTCGCTTAAGATAATGTGAAAAGGCAACTCTGTGTACCACTCCACACAGAGAGTTAAATGCTTTGGCTTAATGCATTTGTAACTTCAGATATATTGTATTTTATTTTACTTTATAGATACCAATTCCATGAATTCGATAGCAGCCATTGCCTAGGTGTTTAGGATCACATGCGTTCGAAGCAGAGTCCATCAGCCAAGGGTTAGGCCCTGTGAGGGCAACTGCGTGAACAGCAGTGGAAAACCTTGACCATGCTGAGTCCGAAAGGCAAGAGGAGAAATTTTAGTTCACAAATTGATTGTAAACATTATAATTGATGGTATCAGCTTTAACTTGAAAATGCTATTGGCTGTTTTAATTTGCTCTTGTGGTGCGGAAGACAGTGCTAATCTCAGGTTGGGGAATTTGTAGCAGTGATAGCGACGTCAGGCTAAATAGAGATGATAATGATTTAAGAGACTAGGTCATTGGCTTGCTTCTGTTTTCCTCCTTCAAGCACCCAGGTGGGTCAGCTGAGTGCTGTGTGTTGAAGCTACTGAGGTGGGAGAATTCTCTTCATAAATGCGGAGCAGTGATTTGGATGGAAGCCAGTGTTGAGATAAATGCTCATTACCTTGTGTTTATCTCTTGGGGATGTTCCATACAGTGTCAATGTACACGTTACGTATAAAAGTCACCTGGGATTTGCCCTTTTACCTATTCCACCTGCTCATTTACAAATTTGAGCCTCCTATGAACGGCATCTGCATAAAAATACCTAAACTCAAGGCCTAAAACTAGGGACGCCATTTATTGATGTTTAAGTTGAGCGCATATTCCTTAATTTCCTCACTGTGAAGTACTCTTGTAAGTTCAAGATAATAATGGAACGTGGCTTTCTCAAGATAAGTAGTAGTCTTTCTGCTTTTTTTTTTTAAAAAAAAAACTTTGAAGCTGGCCTTAAACCTAAGCACCGCTTAGGTCCTTACAAAGGACTGCTTTCACCATGTGCCTTTTAGAGAGAAACTCTGAGTGGCCACGGCTCAGTTTGCAGCAGCTCTGTGCCAAAGCCAGCACTGGAGGCTTTCTAGGTGAGAGCCCCCCGAATTTCTCTAAAACATCTTGTCCCTAGAGACAAGGGAGAGAGCGCTTCCGTCCCTGCCCCTCGGGTCTAATGGTCGCCAAGTCACTCTGAAGTGTGAGGTCAGTTTTCCCAACCCTGTGCTATTTACGTAGTTACCACTCTGAGGCAATGCAGTGCGCTGTCAGGAGAACGGGGTGCCCAGGTAACCCCAGTCTCAGTTTGGTGCTTAGCTTGCTCTGTGGCCTGTAGCTAATGACTTCGCCTCTCTGAGACTTTGTTCATGGTAGAGAGAGAAGGCTGGGTGAGATCAGTGGTCCTCCCGGAGTCAGCACCCCTCCTTAAACAGGCATTTGATTCTGGCTCTTCTGAAATGAAATTCGAAATGCATATGATTTATAGTACATATACCCTTTCAAAGAATGGGTAAGAGTACCCTTACTGTAATATAAAGCAGAAAAAAAGGAAGTCACTGTTTAATAAAATAAAATGCATTTTGATAAAAAAAAGCTTGGGTCTAGCCATCCTAGAAGATGAAATCAAGTCATCAGATGCTTTCACCTGTGTGCAGTCAGTCACGACAAAGGCAGATCAGTGTGTTGTGTTGGTGACATCACTCACAGTGTTGTCAGGGGGGTTATTTCCTGAAATGGTGGGCAGCTCTTGGTAAAGTTTTGAACCCACACCTTACCACTGGGCCCTGATATACGCGGTAAATGCGTCCCTGGAATAGTCATTGTATATTAAAACCATGCAGCAATTACTTTGCGCTTTATGTTAAAAGGTCATTTCTAAAGTCTCACTAAGTCAAGAGAATGCTAAAATATGAGGGTTTTTTTATTTGAATATGAAAACGCATGGCCTGGTTTGGAAAAAGGTCACCTATAACAGTTTATTTGCTCTGCATCCTGTCTGGCCATGAGCTATGTCTCAAGTCTCCGATTTGAACTGTAACCACAACAGGGAGTGGGGAGTGCTCTAGAGTAACTTTCGGAAAGAGTCCGCAAACCGAAGGAGGCTGACTTGTACTCGCTCCACCTGGGGATGCGCCTTAACCTCAGTGACTTTGAAGAATGGAAAGTTCTCACTTCATAATAAGAGCTTCTGTATTATTGGTTTAATATCGAATAATAAAATTGAGAAAACGAGTGCTCTGTCTCCGTAGGTTCTTTGTAAGCAAATGCTCTCCTTCCAGATCCCCGCGTTCAGCAGTGTCTCCATTCTGTGAGGCCTGAAGCAGGGCCAGGAATTCCCTGGGCAGATACCAAGCTGGGCCCGTCTGGGCCGACCCTGTGACTCCCACAGTTCCCTGTCGTAGCCTCATTGCTAGCTTTAGTTTGTGTTGCTCACAGTTCATTGTTCATGGCCAGGATGCGCTCTCTGAAGCGTACTGTCCCGCTTTCATGGAGCTTCCACTGAATTATTTCAGTTGCTTTTCCAAACAGGTCCACATGTCTCCAGCACTATAAGGAAGGAACCCATTCATCCAATGCAGGCTTCTCCCGTGGCCTTTTAATTCAAAATAACATTCTGTCCTGTTTTCTTTTGTTCCTCTATGGCCTGCGGCATCAGTTCTTTGGCTTAGTGGTTAGTTGGTTGGGTGGGTGGTTGGTTTATTCATGTATCACTCGGGAATATTCCTTTAGCAAGCGCCCTCCCGTGTGCCAGGCGCCGCGCACGCCCCAGGGAGACAGTGGGGGTCGGGGCTCCCGCTCAGACAGAGCTTGGTGTCAGAGTGGGTGCATTCCTCAGAAAGCAGGGCATGATGGGAGAAGGGAAAAATGGAGCCATACAGCATATTTAAAACAGAAAATGTTGCATGTCACCAAAAGAATTGAGATACACTAATGTGAAGGAGGGGGCAAATACCTCCCCCAGAAGGAAGTTATGCCAGGCGATAATGGAAGCGTGGTGAGCTGCACAGAGAACTCAAGTCAGTGTGACTCAGTCGTGTGATCGTGGGTGAGTCACTCAGTCTTTTAACAAATATCTGCTGAGCCTGTGATCCTAGGTCATTAATAATGAAGTGAGTATGGGCAGGAGAAACTCACAAGATCAATTCCGACACCTCTCGTTACCACAGCCGTACTTCCGTCTGCATTCCTAAGTGACGGGACCTGTGCAGGCCGCTCTCACTCACTCTCAGGCGCCCTGCAAGTGCTTCACAAGGCAGATCGCTGCCCATAGCATTCTCTACGGTTTGGGTTGACTGAAAGATTTTTTAGTAGGATGATTTTGAATGGCATCATATCCACACTTAAGGGTAAAGTGAAGTGGAGCTTGTAAGAAACTCGTATTAAAGCGACATTAGGCCATTCACATGGGAGCCCAGGAACTGTGAGGGTGACTTTCGGTGCACGCCATTGTAATGCCAGCCCGGCGGAGCTTGCTGTCTGTGGTACAGGGAGGCCACAGGGGCCTTGAAAGTGAAGCAGGACAAATGTTTTTAAATGTGAGGATGGGACAATTTCACACGTTGGAAACTACCTACTGGGTGTCAGCATGATATCATACTTCCCACAGTATCCCTGGCAATTAGATGTCAAATTGGGCAGCTAACTCTGTTTTCTTTTGGGTGAGAAACAAAAGAATATGATACATGGTTATGTTATAGCTTTATTTCAGTAGTGTTTAAGGAGTAGTTTTAGGGATACAACCAAAATCATGTATTGAAATGTGATGTGAAAAGGTTTTTAGTCATCGGACAATTGTCTTGAGTGCTATGGATGAATAGGACCCTTTGGCCATTGATTTCTGGTGTTTGGATGCTGGGGGCAGGGCACTACATTTTTCTCTTCTGTCTTCCTAGGCCAGAGAACTGGTGTTGGAGCCATGCCTTCCGCATAACAGATTCAGGATTGGCCCAGCTCTGTGGCTCACAAGCTGGAGTGAGAATGGACCAAGTTATTTGTTCACTCATCCTTGGTTCATTTAAGAAGCATTTGCTGATGCTTGTTAAATGAGGCTCCAGGCACCACGTGAGGCCCTGTGGAGACAATAGCAAACCGGACTTTCAGCTGTGGAGGGAGTGTGCGTGGAGCTCCTGGGCAGAGTGCGCCTGCAGCATGGGTCTGTGATCTCTCTGAAGGACCGGCAATGCCTGGAAAGGGCCGCTCGTTTGGGAGATCGCCTGAAGCCAGTTACACGGAGAGCAGGTTGAATCAGTCTTCTGTAGCACTGGCTCCCGGAGGTGCAGACTCAGCTCCGAGTGATAACTCATTCAGGGAGGTTTCCCAGCGTCACGTAATGTATGGGAAGAATGAGAGACAATACAGGTGCAGCTTCACTAATGGCCTAGACATGACAAGGGGGACATAGAGGGCTTTATTCTTACCCTTGGAAAAGAGGCATTAATTATGATGAGAGGGGACACATCATCAAGCTTAGAGAATATACTTTCCACAGAAGTAATTTTAGGAGCCCTCCTGGGAAGGTTTCCCCACTTACACTTTCTTAGCAAACTTTAGACAGTTCATTTTTGGAGCTATCCTCAGACTTCAGATTTTGAAGGATGTTCGAATACAAGTGTCTCTGACTTGGAGCGGTGACCCTAGTACGAATTAGGCTGTAGATATTTTTCTGAAAGTCTAGGGATCAAGGGGGAGATGAGGAACTATTAGGGCCTTTGGAACATGATTGGGGTTGGCGGGGCATGCCACGGGGAAGGCTCTGTTTAGCATGAGCACAGTCTTACTGGCCAGCGGGAGTTCTGTCTTCCCGAGCGGCAGCTTCATCTTGGAAATGGTTGTTGTGGACTAGCTATTTGTGTCCCCTACACTGAACCCGGTGGGATGGTATTTGGAGGTGGGACTTTAGGGAGGTGACCACATCAGAAGGGGCCCACCCTCCTGAATGAAATTAGTGCCCATGTAAAGGAGAACCCTGGGGGCTCCCTCACCTCTTCTACCATGTGGGAACACAGCAGAAGATGGACTTTTATGAAGGAGGAAGTGAGGCATCACCAGATCTGCTGGCACTTGACCTTGGACTTCCCAACCTCCATAACTGTGAGAAATGTTTGTTGCCTAAGCCACCCAGTCTAGGGCATTTTTGTTATAGTAGCTTGAACAAGCCAAGACAACGGTCATCTTCGATCCAAGACCCACTTGTATTCATGTATTTTCTGTTGTTCATATGACAGTTGTTTGCTGCAACTCACTGGCCTTGACATGACGGGACTGACCTCTGACCTTTCTTGGTTTGATTTGAAATTGCTTAACAGCAAATCAGAAGAAATGGGGTTGGGGAGAAGGGAGGAAAAATAAAAGAAAAACTTTTAGATTTTCATTGTTACTATTATAAATATAAATATTTTCTGGGTGTTACGAGTGATGGCATAATTTAATACATATACTTTATATTGATAATCTGACAGAAAGTTGAAGATAACCTTAACTTTCCCAAATATCCTCTGTAGAATACTAATAACCTTAATGTTGTGTTAATCCATTTTACAGATGGAGAAGGTAAAGCTCATTACTAAGGAACCTATCCTAGGCCGCGAAACTAGTAAATGTTGGAGCAAAAGTTAAAACCTGGTTTTGTTACACTGAGTTTGTACTCCTTTCACTGATTCTACAGGATGTTGATAAGATGTGAAGTGAAAGAGAAGTATTCTGTGTCACATAGGTCTGAAAAATGAGTTAAAAAGTGAGTCACACAAATCTCCGCAGGACTCTGCAGAGCCTCCATCTGCTGCTCGTGGGCAACTTCAAGGACAATGCCATGTGCCGCACTCTCCAAGTTTTCTTCACCATGGAACCTTGGTTTCCATGCAGCTCTGGCGGAGGCACTGTTCTGGAAGACCCATTTCAGGAAATGCTTCCTTAGGACCTATTTAACTTTTTAGAATTGCAGACACTGCTGACCATTGGGAGTTAGGTTTTGTCAATTTTTCTGAGTGAAGGAAGAATCCTGACTCTTATCAGGAGACAAGACTTTTCATCCAATAAGCTAGTTACAAAAGGCCGAAATAAGAAATTGCTTATTTATCCCTGTTCTTTCTACTAATGCTTATTGTTTCCCTTTGTTTTATTTTCTTCACCCTTCTGCCATTTGTACCATGAAATAAAATTTCCTTGAGCCCAGTATGTCGGTGTTATTTTTCCAACATTTGTGATTTTCCTTAAATCTTACATCACGTTAGACCTCTGTGTCTTCACTTGCCCTTCTACTTCCTCACACTCAGGGTTTCTGTTTTCCCAGTTAATGTCCCTAATGCACACGCATTTACACTCCTTAAAAACAAGCACCCAAATAAGGTAATTATGAATCAGTGGAAGAGACCGGTGGATATTGTTCAAACCAAAAACACAGTAACATTCCATACAAAGGTGCACTCATATCCTGATTCATATAATGCATTCATTTTATGAAAACATCAACCAATTATTTTCTAATTTTTTTGAATACTTGGGTTATTAAAAATGACAATTTTAAGTTATAAGCTTCCAATAAGTCAGAGCCATGCTTTTATTTACATGTTATGTCACTTCAATACGCATGTTGACTGGTATTTCCCAGATTTGTTTGGTGATGAAATCCCCTTGGCGTGCTTTTCAGATGGATTACTGGACTTCACTCCAAGTGCGCTGCGTCCGAATCCCTGGGGGCATCTGTTAATATCAGCAGAAACGTTTGTGAAACACTCATGTGGATCTGGCTTTAATGACCCACAAGCAAAATATTGCATAAATAACTTGCTGCATATGTTATCTGTTATTTAAAAGCCTCTAAGAATATTATACTATTTGCTACACTCCAGTAATATGTAAATTACTGAAAACTTAATGCATGCATTCTGTACTTGCATACACCCATATAAAAATATGGCCAATCATGGGCTATACAATTAGATTTTCCATAAAAGAAAGGAATGACAAACAATAGCAATTTTATTTTTATTCCCTAAAGGCGAAAAATTTCCTCTCGTGTTTCCTATTCGGACAGCTTCTTTGCTGGGCTGTCTGACTGTGTATTGCTTACTGAACTCACACATCTTTCCCGTGTACCCCACACATCTGTGTTCGCCGCGTGTCTCTGAGGGAGGCATGGTTAGAATAACGAATAAGGAGCCCCCATCGGCCGTGTTTTGCCTGGTTCTGGTCGTCTGCCAAATGGAGCTAGTCACCTGGA